CTCTACAAAACTTACCCAGCCATGTTTACCGCTACCAGACTAGACGATACGCACCGCGAACAAGGAAATGGTGTATATTTGGATATGCAAGGACAGGACAGGCCTGTAAAACCTCAGAGACATCTCCAGGGAGGCCTTTGTCCTTACCGTGATTATGTACACGTTATTCCTGTCCCCTGAATAACCATTCCTGTCGAGACCAGACTTGTTCATCCTCAAGAGCCCCTTTCTTTTTCCAGTGACATGATAGCTCTCATTTTCTGCCTCAGCTAATAACAAATGGCATAGTGCTGAAACGCTGCATTATTGGTTATTGATCGCTTCCCCCCCGTGGGAACGGTCTTAAATAAAATGCACTTATTACAGTAAGTTATTAGGTTGAAATTCCTTCTTCCTGACAGTTACTGTCCTTCGCTACCACATCATGTTCTTAATAGCAGATCATATTGTTCTTGTTTTGATTTAAACCATCATCCATCTGGCAATGATGGCTTATGTCCACATACGTTTGGCTATGTAGTGTATGTTTATACAAGAAAAGTATTATTTTCATATCACAGTAAATCTACTGTGCCCATCCACTTTTAAGCCATCTTGGTTTGTCAAGTGTTTTTCCCATTCATTTTTCTATAATAGAGTTGAACAAGACTCAAGACATTAAATTAAAATAAAATAAGGTCTGTATTGAAAACTTTATAAAATACCTACATTGTCACAAAGACAAGTGTGATTTCTGAAATTAACTACTATTTCAGTGATGCCTGACAGGTAGCCATGACAATTTACGTATGCACCCCCCCCCCCCAAAAAAAAAAATTAAATTAAATTAAAAAAATACATTATTTATAGAACATATTACAAACTTTGATCTAATGCAAACAAAAAAAGTATTGAAAAATTCAACTACAATCCCATGACTGAAGCATTGCAAATTAAGTACTTAAAAAAATAAAAACAATAATCCAACATTTTCAATCAAAGTTGTTGATTATATGTATAGAAACAATACAATTAATTCTAAATATTTTATTGTAAAATATTCAAATTCAGTAGGTCTGTATTGAAAACTTTATAAAATACCTACATTGTCACAAAGACAAGTGTGATTTCTGAAATTAACTACTATTTCAGTGATGCCTGACAGGTAGCCATGACAATTTACGAATGCACCCCCCACCTCCCCACAGCACAAGAAGCCAATTCTGTTGC